GATTTGTGGTTTATCTCTTCTTCTCTCTATGTATTTCTCTTTTGTTGTGTTTTGTATGTATTTTTCCTATGTACTCATGTATATTTGTCGCTCATGGTGTTGTATAAAACTTGATTTACAAATATTTGTCGATTATATTCCTGGATTTTTACTGTGTTAGGGATTTGGGTTGTTATAGACATATACTGCTCGGATTCTTATCTAGAATGATTATCTGTTAGTTTCTGAATTCTAGAGATAAATTTAGAGCTGGAATTCACTTTAAGTATCAGAGTTTAATGCCTCTGTGTTGTTTGTGTTGCTCTGAGAGATCGTCAACGCGAGCGATGCGGTTGACTTCTGTGTTATTGAGGTTGGTTGAGAGATCGCCGCCGAGATGGTATAGTGGGTGTTGCAGTTGATACGTGTTGACATTAATGAATATTGTAGGTTGAGTATAACTAATCGATAGGTTTAAGTTTGTGATAATTAGAGTACATTCGAGCCAGATAAGTTTGTCTTTACTTTTTATACATTTATTTTCTGTCGATAACTTTTACCTTTCCTTTCAACCCATTTATCCCCTAAACTCATTAACAAGAGATTTGTCAAACGGAGACTCGATAACCAATCTCTGTGGACACGATACGATATAACCTAAATATCACCCAGTAAAATTAATACTTTACTTTTTGTTTTCTGCTTTACCGCTTCAGCAAAATGGCGCTGTTGCTGGGGATTGGTGTTTATTGTTTCCAATTGTGATAGTTTCTTTGTTTTTGAATTTTGTAATTAATGTATATGTTGTATAGAATTTGCAAGTGAACTTGTTTATGTTTAATTATACACCTATCTCTATATGTTTACGAAACTTGTAAATAGTTACATGTTTTCTATACTTGTACATTTTTGTTTCTTTTCACGTTTGACAAAAGCGTGTTTAGATGTGTAGTTCTGGATAGAGGTCGAAGAGATGAGAGAAAAGGCGGGAGTGAAGCATTTCGCTCATCTGAAGTAACATGCTAGTTTGTAAATAATAGGCGTCGAGCTTACAACGTAAAACAAGCATGTTTTTATTGTTTTTCATTATTTTCGTAGTATGGTAAATTTTGTTTAAACAAGTTGAAATCGATCCCTGTTCTAAAAATTTTCAAATCTTCACTTTTCAACTTGTTTAGTTCAAATTTCACCGGGTTATTTGTATATTTATAGTAGTTCGTGTTAATGTGTTAAGTTTTTTTTTCCGCAAGCTTGTTGTGTTTAGCTTGAGAAAATTTGTATGTTGCAAATATTGTATGTTTGAGGTTGTCTAGGTGTGGTGGAGTAGCATGAAAATGCAGCAGTTGTTTCCGTTTTTCTACATTTTTCTGCTACCGCTAAGCGTACTCTGTCCCTCTTAGGGCGCTCTCTTGTGCTGTATCGGTGAATTGTTTTTAATTTTACTTGGCCCTCCCTTTTCCCACTTTCATCAAGACTTTGTATTATTAAATAACAATAGTATTATTTTTCTAATTCTTTTGTTGTTGTTTGGACTCTAATTTTGGTTCGGTAACTTGAAGAATTTCGAGGTGATTTTATGATTTTGATTGAGTCAACTTTCAGATGTATGGTAATGACAGTTTTTGAAGTTGGTACACGTCAGATACACGTTTATCGCTTTCTATAGCATAACATGTTTAAGAAACTTTTCATTTGTATAACTACCATACCATTCATTCTTTTTGCATTACTTGCTCATGACTTGAATCACTTTAGTTTCATTTTTACCCCAATTGTGAGGAGGATTTCCATTGTTCATATATGTTGGAGGCCACAATTTTTGTTTTAACTGCATTTTATTATGTTTAATATTTTGTTTATGTTGATGATATGAATGTATGAACATGATCAAGGCATTTTGTTTGATTTTGAGCACAACTACCTAACCAAATAGTCAATTGACCTTGTGAGTGTGTGAACTTTTGTTAACCTCTTTGAGCCTTTTTGTCAATGTCCATGTTATTTTTAAACTTAATGCTTGTCTATGAGTATTTG